CTGGATATGAGCCATCCTATCTTGTTGGGATTGCTCCAACCATGCCTCGAGGTCATCCATTTGAGCATTTTTTGCCTCCAATACTAGGAGGTGCTCGACAAGCTGATTCTTTTCATCCAAAAGATGACCCTGTTATAAAGTAAACTCTTGCTTGTCCAGAACCAAACTTTACAGACCATTAGAAGCAAGAAAGTTGGTCTGAAAAAAGGGTTTGAACTAAAGTTATTAATGCAATGTACAAATTAAAAGAAGGTAGAAGGAAGATAGATTGCTACCTGCTCTGAGCAATGCATTCTGTTATTTATTAGACTCCCCCCAGAGAGAGAGTCCATTTTTCTCCAATTTTTTTCTGAGGCTAGCGGCTTCAGATAATTGGCAAGCACTACTGGCTTAAAAAGTATATGACACACACGCGAAATCGAAAGAATGGAACTTCGTTCTCTATGAGGTTTCTGAGTGGGTGCCATGTAAGTGCTTCCCAGGTTTCCATGGTCGGGTGACCGCAGAGAAGAAGCACTCTCTATTTGTTCAACCTGGGCAGGTGGAGAAGAAGCAACAGGTATAGACAGAGGGGTGAATATTGTCGGCTCAGAAGTTAGTGGTGGAGGAAGGTTAGGGATTGGACTCCTTTGACCAAAAGCAACTGAGGGAATCTGAAAACGAGAAGAAGTGTTTTCAACTATTTCCATTTCCCCCAGAGTTCGTGAACTTCTTCTGGTGGTGGATTTTGAAGCTCTCCCGGTTGAGCATCCGATTGAGCTGATGAAGAGCTTTTTTCTTCTCTGGAGGGAAGCCTCTTCATCATTGGCGCCTTCATCATCATCGGGGACCACTGTGGTCGGTCCGGTTGGTGTTTCTTTTATTCTCTTCTCCTGAGTCCCAGTCGAGGAGGGACGTTTCCTTTTTGGTTTCTTGTTTTCAGGCTAGGGACTTCGGGAGGAGGTACCTTCACCAGAAGTGTGAGTAGATTCGCGAGCTCTCCTTCGGTTAAGGACATTCTGCAGTAACTGTGTGGCTTCCACCAGGTTATGGAGACCTCATTATCGGGGCAAATGACGTATCCTTATGATAGTCCTGTGTGATACAAGGAGACGGTTAAATTTCTTCCAAGATATATTGAAATATTGAAAGAAGGAAAGAAGAATCTTTGTTTCCCATGGTTTTTAGCTTTCCACCCATATTTGGGAGCCATTTCTTTCCACCTTCGGGTCTCTGGTGTAGTTATGTCCAGTATTTTCTGTACCCACTAGACCAGGTTTCAAACTCGTGGTGTTTTTTCAGTGAGTAGTTGGAACAAAAAAAATCAAAAGTTAGCAAAAAGATTTCTTTTTACATAGAAACGAAACGGATGTACGAAGACCTACAGAAAAGATTCCATGATTCGGAAAAAGCTGATGATGTGGCATGGATGATATTCTTGGTAGCAATAACAACGAATCGTTCCATCCATCTACAGTCGTTGTCATCGTCAACGCTGATAAGGAGGGCATGATGACCACATTTCTTTTAGCACACCCCCACGGAAAATCTTTATGGGGAGTAGAGGTTCATTATATGTGCGAGAGTTAGGGTTTTCACGTTCTCAGAACATAATCGGCGAAGGCAAGCCACCGTACGCCATACAGATGGGCCTACTTGTGCCAAAAAAACTTGGTACCGGTGGCAAAAATCTAGGATTATTGGGTCAATTCCTTCACCCGCTCCCAAAGTGAAAGGGCCCAAAGTGAGAGGGTATGTATAGACATACTTGAACCCTGGTTTGGAGAAGGTGACCCTTTCTACCCATTAGGGGTGAGAATTTTGACGTTGTTCTAATGTCATTCATCCTTCACGACAAGGATGCTGGGAGGACGGATGGAAGAAGGGTACCTACAAACATGCCAGAATCTATCACTTTTGGAATTTGCAGGTTCTTGTTGTTCTTGAAGGTCAGATTTCATACTAAGTTTAAGAGGTATGATGGAGTTCATGGTAGGAGGTTCAGATTCAACCTCAACTCCATTTGTTTTGGTTTTCTTTGGTCCACCTCCGAAGAAAGGGCCAGAGTTTCCGAGGGGGGAAATGTTTTAAGACATATTTACGAAGAAAAATTTTGCTGAGAAGGTTGAATGTTGCAGAAGGATTCTAAAGAGATTCAAAGAAGGGGAAGAAGTTGTGAAAGTAAAGAGTAAAAATAATAAGTAGTGGAGAAGTTATAAATGGCAAAAATCGTGGTCATGATTACATTGAAAACGGGCAAAAATATTTGTTGAACCAGGATCAACATGTGTTCGGGTCATTAAATGCGAGAAGACGTGTGTCCTTTCAAGTGTCAGAGGCCGTTCAGGAACTTTCACGCCAAGAAAGGAACTCTTATCTACTTCTCAGTAACACTGAGTTGCATCACCGAAAAGTAGGGGCACTATATGTATGAGATAAAATTGGCTATTGACAGTTGGACGAATGATGAAGTGACACGTGGAACTAGAGACATGCAGGACGTGAGTCAACAAACAACTGGCACCGTATGTAAGCATGCGATCGATGTTGAATGAATCCCGAAGATAGAGTAGCCGGTAACAAAGATTCAAAATATTGGCATCGGATAGCATTCATTGAGCAGCCGTTACAGAGAATATCTGTATTTATAGCCAACCGTTATGCAACCATCAATGACAGTTTTATTCTAATTCAAGAGGAGCTTGATTTGGGGATCTTGTCTCCCTAAATAAAGCTATAAATAGGTAAATTAGGATCATTGGTAGACACAAAATATTCTGTACACAAAAGCTACAATCCGCTCTCATTTTATAATATTTTTCTCAGTCTTTATTCTTAAATATTGCTCATACTTTTGCCATCGGAGAGGCGAAGTTCATAGTCAGGCTTGCATTTTCTTTTATTTCATTTCATAATCTTATTTTTGTTCTTAGTTTTTTAATATCTTTGGGTCAAATCGATTCACTTGGCTATAAATCACGCTATAAATTCAACTGTACTGTTCTATGGGTAACATGAATATATTATATTTGTGATCCAAAAACCAGAGGAAATTTTTCAAAGAAAGGGAAAAAGAAGCAAGTGAGGAAAAGACTTAAAAGAAGGACAAATGGCTTTAAATGAGTTGTCAATAATAAGAGAGCTTAAGGAATCATCTGATTAGAGCTAGCTAGGTCTTGAATGGGCTTTTTCTTGGTTTAAAGCACAACAAAGCTATTAAATGTAGAAATGTGGCTGTTTCTTGGAGTGCTTTTCTAGTTGAGAAAGAGGTAAGGTATTAGCAAATGAGAAAAGCCCATCATTTCCATATTCTTCTGGGCCACATAGAGGATTAGAGCAAAACGTTCATTATATTATTATTTTCTTTGCACTGTATGATTTTTGGGCCACTCGTTGAGTTCTTTCCTTGTTAGTTAAATGGACTAAATTTCGCTTTTAAAATAATTGGTTGATCTTTGCAAATATTATTTCAAAAATTTGAAATAATGTACGTGTCCAAACAAATTCCCGAGCACTAGAACTAATTTGCATGCAATAGTACAGCAGAGAAGGAAGCAAATAGATGTGTGTTCTGATGTTCAGATGAAGTTTCCTCCCCCTTCCTTTTAAAGTAAGATTCTACATTCACATAGTTTCAAAGAAGTAAGGAACAATCAGTTAGGTAGTAGTGAACGTGCATGAGCGTGATATCAGGGAATTTCGATCTTGTACAAGAACGGTCACATTACTAGTCATTACTTTAAGTAAGATTTAGATATGCTGAAATACTTACGTCACTTTTTTATGGAGATTTATCCATCACAAAGATGTATAGAGGAGATGGAAACAAATCTCATGTATTCAGTTTTAAGTCAATCCTGATCTTAGACCACGATGTTACCCATTCGAATTACTAATAGAAGAGATCATATGTCCCTAATTTTTCGATTTAACCTAATTGACTTCAAGATGAGTTCAACGTAACTAATATACCATATTATATACAAAGAATCGACGCCCGATATATATTGAAAAGATGGACAATATAATCGAAGAAACAACTTCATATTGTGCTTGATGTCAAACTAGGATACGTGGTGGAAAAATAGATGATCTATTTTCTTCCAAATAGTTTGTCTTCGATTGAGATTTAGGACATTATAGAAATCTTGCACATTGCTAGTTTTTGGAGGATACTAGATGTAGGTACTTTCCCACTCTACACATGTGAAGCATGCTCCCAACTATAAATACACTAAAAATGCAGTCCAATGCACTAAACTTCCGCTATGTGCGGGGTCCGAAAAGTACGGATCACAAGGGTTTATTGTACCTTGCATTTCTGCAAAAGGTTGTTTCCACGGCTCGAATCCGTAATCTCTTGCCATGTAATTTTACCAGGTACGCCAAGGTTCCGCAATTATGAATACACGATATATCTTAATTTCTATATGCAGCGCCGCGAGACTTGAAGCTTTTGGATGGTATGATTTCTGTAGGTACAGAAAAGAGTTCGACTGGAATTCGCCTTTTGAGGATTTCGTAACGACGCATATTAAGCACTCCATATTTTAGTCATCTTTTGCATCCAATTTAAAAAAAGGATGGTTGAGCAGAAATAATGGAGTACCCTTTTTGCCATTCCTCTTTCTGTTTTGCTGTTAACTAAACTCTTCTACACCCCTGAGATTCATACATGATCAGCCACATTTGACGATGATTTTGACACATGAATTTAACTTAATTGCTGGTAGGAATTATGTATCCTTTGCCTACCACATTCCTTTGAATATATATGTTGTTAAAGAATATATGTATATTCCTTACTCTCGCGCCATCTGCAACAATTTCACTTTCACATATATAAGCAAGCCAAAAACTAAAAGCAAAAAAATAAAAGGAAGCTGAAGCCTTCCCTAGTTTCAACAACTGCATCCACTCATGCTCAAACACAAATTGCATAACTATATAATAACTAATCGCAATCTCAAATAAGTTTAGGTTCAATACACGACAGTGTAAAAGAATTTTTACACTATCCGTTAATTATTGGTAGAGGAAGAAGAAGAGGAAGAATCAGATGCAACTTCAGTTTCCACTACTTGTCTTCTATGAAAGTTGCGGTGACAGCCGCAAGCTGCACAAGTAAAGGCGCTGTTTGTTCCTTCTTCCCCACTAGTTGGCATATATTCTCGGCAGCCATCAACCGCATATCCTCCAACCCTCGCAGCATGATTCTTCTGGCACTCTTTATATCTCACACTAAAATTAGCTGAATTTGTTGAGGAGTCTTCTCTCTTCAAAAACAGTTGAAGTTTTTTCATCTTTTCTTGAGCACTGCAGATAATTTTAGAAGCTAAACAAGAAAGTGATGATGGATATGAGTGAAAAAGATTTAAGGGGTTTGGAGAAGCTATATAGGTGATGTTCTTGATTCTTTGGCAAACCCTAACGCTAGAAGACATATTCTAAAAAGTTAAAGTTATGCCGAGAGTGTAAAATTTTTTTACACAATTAATGAGTTTAACCTATGATAACAAGTAAGTTATTATTTTTATGAGGTTACTAGTTAATGATTATCATGGAAATTAATATATAATAACCTTGTAAATGATATATATNATGTATAGCATAAGAAGTATTTACATATAGATTACTTGTAAGGTGATTATAGGCATATTTTTATTATAATCATTAATTGGTAAGCTGATAAAACGATAATACATATAACTTAAATCTTTTCACAGTAAAAAAACCTTCTTCTTCGTGGATTACTATTGCAAGTACAACTTTGACCATTCACCATAATTTTCTTTTCCTTTTTACAGTGTATTACTACTATTAAGCCATTCATGTCTATTGGGGTCTTTTCTTGGTAAATTCTCCAAAATGGTCGTTGTGAATTGATTACTCGACTTCCAATTACACGTGCCAAGTTGGTCCGGCTTAGAAAAAGATTTGCCGCTTTATATTTTGTACAGAAAATCTTAATAAATCATCTTTCATTTAGCCTGTAACACTGTTTGGTTTCTTATAGATGACCAGCTGGTAAAACTTTGTCTTCTTATAAGGTATTTATTTCTTAGTTCTAATCCAGTACTGCAGCTATTTATTTATTTCTTACCAAGAATATACTGCAGCTAGCCTTATAGAAAATGTATAAAAGTCGATAAAAAAGTTACCAAAATTGTGCGGAGAGACCTTTTTGTCTTCCCTTTTAGTTCGCCTGTATGGATAATAATGTTAAGCTTCATGTATTATAAGCCTCTTTTGCCCTGCAGTTTAAACATATCGTATCGCACAGATATTCCATCTGCACAATTTCGGGTAATGTCTAACCAAAAGGAATGTATGCAATCTCAATTCAGAAATAAATCCAACATGTAACAGATAAATTAATATGCAAATAAAACAAGTATAATATCTAATTTAAGTTATATTTTAACATTGGTGTACGGATACATTAAGCTAGTTTACTTGAGAAACTTGAACAGCAATATTTTCATGGACGATTTTTTCTTGTCTTTGATTAATTCTTCGATAAAATATGAGTATATGTTTGGTAAAATAGTGGATAGAGACCTAAATTGGGAGCAGAAACGAATTTAGAATTTAGCGTGCATGAGTTTGAATATATGTGATTTCTCAGTCAAAGTTGAATTTGTCTTTGCGAGCACCTAATATTCACAACGTTAAAAATACTGGAGACCTAATTCTGTAATTCTTCTAAGTTCTAATCATGAACACTTTGTATCAACTAATAAAGTAATCCTTGAAGCAGCAATATCTTTATATTAGGTGTCTATTCCGTAATTTGTCCTTGTTATTCTCCCATCATTCCAGACCCTTTTCTTTTGTACTGTATCCTTAAATTAAGCATGCAGAAAGACATTCACATACTGGTGAGACATGTAGTTAATATGACATGATATATGTGAATTAATGCCGTACGTCTTACCTTTCGCTAAAAAAAAATAACAGTAATCTGTATATAGTCATGAAATCAACATTATCTTCAAACAGCTAGATGGGGTGAAATTGGAAATGACATAACTTTCATATTATCTTTGAACTTATTCAACATCAAATATTTTGATATTTGTACATTATTTTCATCTTGTCATTATTACCGTCCATTAAATGGACCCTATCTTTTAAGGTGGCTGTTAATTAGTAATTCACAACTCTACAACACTAGATGAGGCATAATTTGGTGTAGAGCTAAAAAGAGTATTCGATTTTTTCCTCCCTTTGTCCCTCTCCCCCTCCCCCCCCAAATAAAATAAAATAAAATAAAATCCAATTAAACAAATTGAACATGTGTTTGAGTGAGGAGGTACAAGAGATAGTGAAAGCCATGCAAGTGGCGTACTTGACGTTTATAGAGAGCATGGACGAGGAGGCGAAGAGGATGAACAGGGAGCGGTATAGGAGGGCTAAGAAGGAGGCGAAGTTAGAGGTTATTGCGGCTAAGACTACGGCGTTTGGGCATTTTTATGAAGATCTTGGGGCCAAAGGCGGGGACAAGAAGCTATGCAGGCTAGCCAAGGTGAGAGAGGAAGGCCCGTGATCTGGATCAAGTTAAGTGTATCAAAGATGAGGATGGTAGAGTTTTGATGGAAGAGGCTCAGATTAGACAAAGATGGCAGACATATTTTCATAAACTCCTGAACGGAGAGGGTGATAGGGACATTGTGCTGGGCGACTTGGAGCACTCCAAGATGTGCCGGGATTTCGGGTATTGTAGGCGCATAAGAGTAGAGGAGGTCGAGGAGGCTGTGCGCAAGATGCATAGGGGTAGAGCTACCGGGCCAGATGAAATACCTATGGAATTTTGGAAGAATGCAGGTAGGGCAGGTTTGGAGTGGGTCACTAGGCTGTTCAACGTCATTTTTAGGACGAAGAAGATGCCTGATGATTAGAGGTGGAGTACGATGATTCCTCTGTATAAAAACAAGGGCGATATCCAAAGTTGCAATAATTATATGGGAATTAAGCTGCTAAGCCATACTATGAAAGTTTGGGAGAGGGTGGTTAAAGTGAGGGTGAGGACCAGTGTATACATTTCTGAGAACCAGTTCGGTTTCATGCCGGGGAGTTCGACTATGAAAGCCATTCACATTGTGAGGAGATTGGTGGAGTGGTATAGGGCGATGAAGAAGGAGTTGCATATGGTGTTCATTGACCAAGAGAAATCATATGACAAAGTCCAGAGAGAGGTGCTCTAACGATGCTTGGAGGCTAAAAGGATCCCAGTAGCCTACATTAGAGTGATTAAGGATATGTATGATGAAGCTAAGACTCGAGTTAGGGCAGCGGGAGGAGACTCGGAACACTTTATGGTTATGATGGGATTGCACCAGGGATCAGCTCTTAGTCCATTTCTATTTTCCTTGGCAATGGACGCATTGACGAGATACATTCAAGGTGAGGTGCCATAGTATATGTTATTTGTTGATGCCATAGTTTTAATTGACGAGATGCGGGGTGGTGTTAACGAGAGGCTGGAGGTTTGGAGGCAGACCCTAGAGTCTAAGGGTTTCAAGTTGAGCAGGACCAAGACAGAGTATAAGGAGTGCAAGTTTAGCAACGGTACCCAGGAAGGGGATATGGAGGTGAGGCTTGATACGCAAGTCATCCCCAAGAAAGGTAGTTTTGAGTATCTTGGATATATAATACAAGATAACAGGGAGATTGATGAAGATGTCACGCATCGTATTGGAGCAGGATGTATGAAATGGAAGCTCGCTTCCGGTATCTTGTATGATAAGAATGTGCCACTGAGACTTAAAGGTAAGTTCTACAAGGTTATAGTTAGACCGACTATGTTGTATGGAGCAGAGTGTTGGCCGGTCAAGAACTCTCATACCCAGAAGCTAAAAGTAGCTGAGATGAGGATGTTGAGGTGGATGTGTGGGCATACCCGATTAGATAAGATTAGGAATAAAGTTATTTGGGAAAAAGGTGAGAGTGGCCCCTGTGAAGGATAAGATGCGGGAGGTGAGGTTGAGATGGTTCAACATGTTAAGAGGAAAAGTATAGAAGCCCGAGTTAGAATGTATGAGCGGCTAGCCTCAGTGGGCAGAAAGAAGGGTAGAGGTAGGCCTAAGAAGTCTTGGGGAGAGGTTATTAGGCGGGACATGGCGCAACTGGAGTTGACTGAGGACATGAACCAAGATAGGAGGGTGTGTGTGATGACCCGAAAGGTCATCTTTAAATTTATTTTTCATTTATATGATCTGAGCCCTCAAATAGCACCATTCAACTTTTCTCGACTTGCGTGCACAATCCGTAAATTATTTCAAAAAGTTTTTATGTGAAAAATAAATTAAAATGTGAAATAGAGCTTTAAAACTCAACTGTGTTGACTTTGATCAATATTTTGAGCAACCAGACTCAGATCAATGTTTTGACAGTTTCGGTAGGTCCGTATAGTGATTTCGGACTTAGGCGTATGCCCGGAATTTGATTCGTAAATCCCTAGCTCAAATTATCGCCATTTAACGGAAACTAGAAATCTAAAGGCTAAAGATTTCCAAAGTTTAATCGCGGATTTGACTTAATCGATATCGGACTCAGAATGAGATTCTAAGAGTTGGAATAGCTCCGTTATATCATTTTTGACTTGTGCGCCAAGTTTGAAATCATTCCGGATTCATTTAATATGTTTCGGCTCATGTTTTGTAATGTGAAAAGTTTGAAACTCATAAGTCCGAATCGAGGAGTGAATTGTAATTTTGACATTATTTGACGTGATTTGAGACCCTGAGTAAGTCCATATTATGTTACGGGACTGTTGGAATATTTGGTTGAGGTCCCGAGGGCCTCGGATGGATTTCAGATGGTTAACGGAGTTTAATTTGGATATTCTAGAATGTTTCGACGTCGTTTTTTCAAGAATAAGTGATATAACATTAAGAAAATGAGATCCAAATTCAGTTTTGATTAAATCATTAGATCCGTATTGAAATTTCAGAGCCATAGCAAAAAGAATCGTTGAATTCGGACATCGTATGAGAGAGTTATGCCCATTTCTGTGTCGAGAGATATTTCCCGTCGTCGTTGTTGTCCAGGGTCGCGTGGGGCGCTATCCCTGGCACTGGTACTTCTGAAGTTCTGGAAACGGCGCCACAGGAAGCGCTCACACCATCTGTGGCGCCACGGACATAAAATCCCCATAAAACATGGAGTTTTGCCATTTTTACTCATTTTTGAGTTTTGAGTCTCGGATTTAGGCAATTTTCACGGAAATACATTGAGGTAAGTGTTCCTTATCCTATTTTGATTATATTTCATTATTCGATACTCATTTACATCATGAATC